GCTAAAAGCTTGGGAGCAGAAGTCATTAAAGCTAAGTGTGACTCTTTGCTGGTGGTAAATCAAGTAAACAAAACCTTCGAAGTTCGAGAAGATAGAATGCAAAGGTATTTGGACAAACTACATGTCACTTTGCACTATTTTAAACAATGGACTTTACAGCATGTTCCACGAGAGCAAAACAACGACCTAATGAGCTCGAGTGTCGGCAGTATCGGCTGCCTCTCTTGCCTCTATCTGGGAAGTGTTAGCATTGGCCCGATAGACGGCCACGAGTGCATCCGCATCAGCCTTCACCTTTTCGGCATCGTATTTGGACTTGGTAAGTTCGGAGGTCAACCGAGCCTCGAGCTCCTCTATTCTTCTCGCTTGAACCATGCCTTTTTCCTTCATTCTTTGAAGTTGGGTTTCGGCCAATGATAACTTGGCTCGAGTAGTTTCTTTCTCTGCAGCAAAGCGGTCCATATCTTCTTTCCACTGCAAAGACTCCGCTTTTATCACATCGACCTTCTCACGAAGCTTCCTGATCATCTCAATTTTTTGCTGCAACTGTGAGACCGAAAAATTAGCCATCGTTCCGGTATCAAGCCCATAGGCTTTTAAAAGTATCATTACTTGCTCAGACAGATCAGTCTGATCTCGGTAAGCCTTGGCCAGCTCAGCTCGAAGGTCTTTTATTTCCTCTTCCCTTTGCCCTAAGAGAAATTATAGGGAGTTCCTCTCCTCAGTAACCCATTGAAGGTGGGACCGAGAATATGCTTTTCGATGAACTGCCACTGCCTGCAAAGAAACAAGAAATGAAGTTAGAAACGAAAAGTAAACATGAAGGTAGTACCAACAAAATAATTTTAAGGCTTACCTAATTCAAAGCCTGTTGCACCTCGTGAAAAAGATTCGATTCATCACTAGTACCAGCAACGTCCTTGATACCGGTAAATAGGTCACGAAAAGATCCTCTCCATCATGAGGCCTGTCTAGATCAAGGGCCCCCAAAGCTTGGGCTTCCCGAATCACCCCTGCAGAAAAAGCGGGGAAGGTGGGTGAGTCTTCGATTGCTGCTGCCCCAAATGAATCACTTGGAGCATTCTCTTCGGTTTGAAGGGATTCAAGAGGGGCCTCTTTAGACATATCCCCCATCCGTTGGCTCCGATGGGATGCGTGTTCGATCTTCGACAACTCAGGGACTCCGTCTGAATCTTTCTCAGGTATACCCTCAGTTCGAGGCAGAGCCTCATGAAGCATCATCGATCCAGCTGCCGATGGGGCATCGATGGTTTTCTTCGTTCGGGCCGCCAGCACGGACCTATCATTTTCTTCTTATTCTTATTCTTCTTCTTCTTCTTCCCTTAGACGCAGAACTGATTCTACGATCAAAGGAATGGCATTCTTGTTCGGCTTACGAGCCGTCCTCTTCTTTGGTTTTGGATATTCGGGAACAGAGGCTCTTTTTCTTTTATTTTCATTCACCGGCTTTGGGACAGAGGCCAAAGTTTCTTCCTCGATGGATAAGAGCCTCAAAACTGCATCTTTACCCAAACCTGCATATGAAAAATTTTATTAAAATATTTGGAAGGCATCTCGTTCGAATTATCAAAGAGTACGAGAAAAGGGCTTACCGTGATTTTTGGCCTCCTACCGACCCTTTGACAAATCACGCCATGAGCACTCGGCGTATGTGAAGGTCGAAACAAGAGCTCGTACCCAGTTCTTGAGATCGGGAACTGCTCCGGGCATCCAGGGAATCACTGCATCACAAAAAGAAGAGTATCAAAGAGAAAAGAAATAAAAGAACAAAATAGAAAGAAGTAACAGCAGGATCACACTTACGTTTCATATTTCACTCCTCGGGAAAGGGCATCTTTTCGGTCGAAATCAGGTCTGAAGTACTCACTCGAACGAACCTGCCCATCCAGCCCCGATCCTTGTCCTCGTCAATGCTCGAGAACAGAGCCTTGGTAGCCCGACGCTGAAGTTTTATTAACCCTCCTCGAAAAAGTCGAGGACGGTACAATCGGATAAGATAGTCGAGGGTGAACGACATCCCCTCGATTTTGTTCACAAAGTATCGGATCAAGATAACGATCCGCCAAAAAGAAGGATGGACCTGGCCTAGGGTTATTTAGTATTGATGACAAAAATCAATAATAACGGAATCGAGGGGACCTAACGTGAAAGGGTAAGTATACATATTCAAAAACCCTTTCACGTAAGTGGTGATATCTTCGTCAGAAGTATGAATTATTATTTCTTTTTTATCCCAATTCCAATCTTTCTTTAGCTGTTTGAGGTGCTTCTCGGTTATCGAACACATGTACCTCGATACTGGCTCACATCAGCCAGGGACCGATGATCCTTTATCGACCTTAAAATCAAAAGTAAGAACACACGCCCCGGGAACGCACTTCTCAGGCCGTGGTTCTGCCGGTGTCTCATCGGCGACACACTGTGAAGATGAAGCCTTCTCTTTCTGAGGAATGGTTTGTGACTTTTTCGCCATTTTCGAATTCAAAAGTGAGGAGTAGAAGAAAGTGACAAAGATTTGGTAAAATTGAAGGGGGGCTTTTTGCAAAGAGAAATCACAGATTTACGGGTAAGCGAGAGAATACGAAAAGGGACTTGAGAAATTTGGAAGATTGAAGAGGTAAAAGTGGTAAATGATAAAAGAAAGGGTTATTTATAGGTTTAAGCAATAGCGGTTCAGTATCAGCGGTGGCTGACCACCGTCTGACATGCATTAAATGCCTTGAAAGACTAAATCGACGGGACAAATATCACGTGCGTCATGATCGAGCCCGATGAGGACGTCCGCTTATAATCCGATCGAGCCGTTGGAAAAACATATCGTTTCTCACCACATTCTTCCTGAGAAACGAGGGGACTTATCTGTATACGGTCGAAATAAATTTCGGCCTTCGTACGTCTGATCGAGTTTGAAAGATAATCGATCGAAGTGAGACCTCGAGATGGGTTCCGAAGATGGTACAAATAAGTTTCGAATCCAAGGGGCCGATCAATGTCGAGTTCGATATCATTGTCAAGCTCGGATCCAAATCGAATTATGATGCAAAGTAAAGCTATCAAGCTTATGATCTAGAGACCGACCAACATTGACCCCGAATCAATTCGAAAGCTCGAGTCAGAATCGAGCTCGAGCCAAGATCGAGAGATTGAGTCAGAATCGAGCTCAAACCAAGATCGAGAACTCGAGTCAAGATCGAGCTCGCAGACAAAAGCCGTTACAATCCCACTAGAGGAGAGAATTTTGGCAGGAATTGTGGAAAAACTGATTTATCGTGGGTCTCCCACTGAGTATTTTTAATTATGTTTAGAGCAAGATCCCTCTACTATAAAGGGCATGGTTATCATTTCTGTAAAGGCAAGTTTTCAGGCTTACATTGTAATCAAAACACTATATCCTCCCATAGTAAAGAATTGTTCTTTCACGCTTCTTAAATTGATTCCACTTGTTGAGTCCTAAAATTCATCTTCTTTACAACCTTATCTATTTTGCATTCTTTGCAATCCATATTTCTATTTCTATTTATCCTTACAATTTGTATTAAGTTGCGCCACATATCCTTAGAACTACGTACAAATTCAACTCCATCTATTTTTCGGATAAACATAAATAATTTCATTCATGGCAGATTTTTCATACATTTCAAGTTTTTCTAACTATTAAAGTTGTGAATTATCGTATTTTATCATACTTCTTCAAATAGCAAAAATTCAGCTTATAATGCCCTATTTCATGATACAATAGTTTAAAAGGGTTAGCTGTGCACTTAAAACATTAATTGATCAAATAGACATTTTTGAAATTTTAGTTCAACCAAGTGACACATTATGTTTCTGGGCCACCTACATTTTGGCTGAGCAACAATTTCCATATTCTAATACTTAAACAAATTATAAACCAAAGTTGGTTAGCTAAAAAAAAATTGATTTTTCAAAATCTGTCGTCTCTTTTTTCCTCCAAAGTAAAATCGCAATTGTCGCCATTACCGTGTTGGAATATAACACGGCTACATAGGATTCTCTTTTCTCAATATAAAAATACAAATTTTACAACTTGTAAACGCATTGACCCTCTTTTGACCCTTTCCCTGTAGTGTAAAAACTGCAACAGCCGCCTATTAAGACTCTGCTTCTCTAAGTAGGATTTACTTGACCGTCACTATCAATTACCCTTCATCACACTCATGTATATTTCCTCAACAGATCCTCACCGTTCATCTCTTCAACCAATGACGTGTCAGTATCTTATTTACTCTTTTTCCTTCAAAACCACGTGTCAGACGATTTTAGTAGTATCCACTGAAGACGTCTAAGAGCATCAAACGTGTTAGATTAGCTACCAACATGCTGACATGGAACCGACCAAATCTACCACGTCATCTAAACTACCCACGTTAACCCTTCAACCTCTCTCATCTTGCCACGTGTCCCCCTCAAACGGCTAGTTTTTTTCCCTCTTTCAGATTTAAAGCACAAAATCCAAAAGATATTTGTATGGGAAAGTTCGAGTCCTTTCTAGGCAAGATCAAATCCTTTTAACAGCCATACATATTTATCCATTACACATTTAAATATTATTTTGAAAAAAATAGAGAGAAAAAAGTAAAAAGTTTACAGTAAAAAAGACGTGTATATAAGGGAACTTGACCCTCGTCCAAATGAAGTGCTGTACAAGTTGTGTAGAAAGGCAGTTCATTAGTTTCCTTGTTCAGAACATCCGTTATTTTCAATCTTAATTTACTGCTGCAGTGCAAATTAAGGATTAATTTTAAGGTGCGTATCTATATATTGTTGCTTACCCACTGAGTAATGATATCTTGGAGATACATTATGTTTGATTTGGTTTTGGATTAATTAGGTTCTGTTATTAAGTTCAAATAAAAATTTAGAATATAGATAGAATTTTATTGGATTTGGTATTTGAATTTGGATAATTCTGAATTTTTTGTTGTATGTGTGTTGGAAAAATTAGGTATTTAGTGAAAATGGTATTGGGAAAGAAATGTGAAAGTTATGGGTCGGGGCTAGTGAGGAGTACCTCATTTGGGAGGAAAAGAATTACAGTGGATGTTGATTTCAGTCCCACAACAACACCTATGAAGAAAGTGTGCAGTCACAATTCATTTTTCTTTTGTGATGACAAGTCTCCTATTGAAGCCTTGCCTCAAGATATTCTGGTGAGTTTAATCAGCCCAATTCTCCTTTCTGTATATTTTGAATGCATTAGTATAATGGTACTGAAAATTACTTTTTCTTAATCTTGTTCCTTGTTTTTTGCAGATAAGGATAGTGTGTGGAGTTGATCATGATGATTTAAAGAGGCTTTTTCACGTATCAAGGGTAATTAGAGAAGCTGTAAGTATCAATTACATCATTCAAATACATTCATTTTGCACTATTGAAGTAGTTGAATTGGTTTCTTAATTAGTGAGTTAAATGGTTTTTTTTTTTTTTTGCTTTGATGAACAGACTGTGATAGCAAAAAGGTGGCATTTTGAGTATGCAACACCAAGAAAGACGCTTGGTTTCAAGAATGCAATTGAGGATTTGGGTGAATTCAATGATGTTGATGCGCCAAATGCTCCAAGGCAATTGAAAATTCGGAAGTTAAAGTTGAGCAGAAAGAAACTGGCTGACATTTCAGTTACATTGTTCGCATCAGAAGATGATAATTGGTTGCAGAGGAAGTTATTTATGCAGATGGATGCTGAGTCATAGACATTTGTCACTAAAAGAGGTTTTCTGTATACTATTGTTCTTGTAGGAACCATAGGTTTTGGGGTTAGATCTGATTATATTGATCAGAATTTAGTCTCTAGTGTACGTCAGAAAAATCTTTACCAAGTGCTAGTTCTTCAATCCTTTCATTGAAGATGGATATTGTGCTTGTTTGTATTTATTTGTACATTTAGAGAACAGGAGAGGTAGATGATTTAGGGGATTCTGTTTGAAGGGCCTATGCTGACGCTTCTGATTTCATAAGAATGTTGGTTGTACTTTGTACATAGCAAGGTCAAGCTCTGTTTTGATTCGACTTGGTAAATTAAATGAAATTGTCTTCCACTTTCACTTAGACTTGTAATTGCTTTGTAGTCTGTGGTGTTATTATCATTTGCAGCATATTCACACTAATTCGTGTTGCCGCGCAGTTTACATATAATTTCTTTCTTCTTTCTATGTGTTCTATACCTGTGACAATTTTCTCCAACTAATCAGGTGTATATAGAGCTGGTGTTCGATTATCTGGAAATATAAATTCTTAGAAAAGGCGGTAGCTAATGAGACTAGCTCGCATGTAATTAATATTATACTAGAGGTTTCTTTAAGGTAAAAATTAGTCTTCTTTTTGGATTTTTTGAATATCAGAGTTCTGTCTAGAACCTACTTTTTATGTATATGTTAACTGTTCAGCAAAATTATATTTGTGCAAGAAAAATAATGTGAAAATTATTTCTTGAGTGGCACAGCTTGGAAAACGCATATACGTTGTGGCTATTGTCCTGTCTAGGAAAAGATAAAAGAAAAGAAATGTCAGAACTGGTTATTTTGCGGCTTTTATGGCATTCTTAGAGGTTCGGTTGGCCTTCAATTGTTCTTTTTTGCTAGACTCTTAGCTCTCGGTTGACCACAGGTATTTTTGTTTTCAAAAATATTTAATAATATTGACTGGTTATAAAAATTGATCAGTCTTGGGCAGTTTTTAAAGATGATTTTTTTCTAGTTTCACCAAGTGGTTTGGACTAGTTTTTCACTCGGCTTCATTTGTTTTTTCTTAGATTAAGACTACTATATCTGAATATTAAAATGTGTATTAAAATTAAGATATTTGAAACTCAATACACATCTGAATATCAAGATGTGTACTAAAATTTGAATACTAAATGATTAAAATTGTTTGTTTTTAACATATAAATATACAAAATTCATCTTTATTTAAGAATTAATAAACATAAAATTCAAATAAAATACTAATTAATCTTTATTTGACCTTGGATCAGAGTTTTTGTGTGAATTCTCGCTGCAGACCTAATGGAACTCTGATCCGGAGTCAAATACTCAAAAGTCAAACTTGGTCAACTCTTCCAACTTAAAGCTTCAAACATGAAATTCATTCTTCCAAACTAATTCTGAAACACCTAAAAAAAATCAAAACCGACAATTCACACAAGTCATAATACATCATATGAAACTACCCAAGACTTCAAACGGCTGAACGGAATGAAATGCTCAAAACGACCGGTCGAGTCGTTACATTCTCCCCCACTTAAACATACGTTCGTCCTCGAACGTGCCCAGAGTCGTTTCAAAGCCATTAAATCGACGTGTAACCTTACCATGCACATACCCGGGCATGATCCCACGCCACCCCAATCCATATAACCCTGACAACAGATCACAACTGAAAATCATTACTTTAACCTTAGACCGTAAACCTTAGAACCCAATTTCCAACATCTGGAATCCCTTACAAGACCCGAATCACGCATATATACACTGTATAAGTCTGAACAAGTTATATTAAGCCATAACCATAACCCAAGATGTAATAACATGATGTACCACACAACTCGCATACTCGTAGCAATAATTCCCGATCACTGTAACTGCTCAAAACAAACCCGATACCATTAGTAAAGCTCATATCAAATAAAACCTCGTTCAAAACCTTCGTACACTGCTGATGATGAAAGAAACACGTAGAAACTCATAATCACTCATCTGATCAACAAGTTATGGAGCTCTCTCCCTCATCCGACAAGAACCAAAGCCAAATCCTAAGATGATTTCCGATATTATTCTTCCAAACATACAGTAATCAAATCCGATAGCAAGCACTTCAGGCCCAAAGACTTCATCTCATGAAATACAAGCTACATTACTGACATGCCACACCAATACTACCTAGAGCCACAAACTGTGCAATCCATGCACCAATAAGCAACAATTTAATGTATTCAAACATGAAAAATGACTCAAATGATATAACCGCCCCGCAAGTTCAATAGATACCACCACAAGTGCAATGCTACAAATCTATCACACATAGTAAAATCAAGACACATGAATCTAACACAAAGGATAATATCCCAATATAACCCAGCTGCAATACGTGACCCCATCCAAACACTGATCCATATGAACTACCTCAAGCTACAATACTCAAAATCAACAACCACGTGCAATTCGACATCAAGTACCCGAAGTGCATGACCATAATCACATAGAAGTGAATAACAATGCATACCACAGCCCGGAAAGACCATAACCAAGGCGCAATCAACCATTCAACACCCCAATAACCATCTCGTTCGAATTCCGCTACAAGGCCCAAACAGAACCGCATCATGTGTGCATATAACCAATAAATCACAACCTTAGCATAGAAGAGTAACACATAGAACTTATCATAACACGAACAAGCTCAACTCTAACCGAATGCCACACCCCTCAACACTATCAGTTCTAAGTCAATAAATCCAACTCGGTGTAGAATACACATCCTCATTGGGCCTACCAATTATTCCCCAAATCAACTCCGGTCATCCCCAAATGGATAAATAGCCCTTCAAAAGTCCACAATGACCTAACCATAGCACGTACTACCATCTAGATAACTTTGGCCACATCTTCACAGTTTGCAACCCTTGAACAATCTGCTTTTGTGAATTCCCAGTCTCCAAATCCATCGAACACATGAATTACCATAGCCGATCCCAACTCCACCACTTGAATGACTAACACATCTCTCATACATAATCATCCCCACGAGAAATACTTCTATAATTCTTCCATGTCACATAGTAAAATCTGAACATCAATAGTCGATCAACCAAGCGAGTACCACAATACCAATGAAGCATACGTAAGTCAAAACACAATGCGCCTTCTGAAATGTGCACCCAACCATGCTGTCTAAGAATTAATCTAATCATATGAAACCATCAATATTGTCTAAGAATTCATAACCTTCCCTTTAAAACTGAACCATCACCTTGTACATGCAAATCTCAATCCCACAGGATGCACCGCATCTATCATGCCATCATATAAAAAGCACGAGAATCTCATAACCAACTCTGAGTCACCAGTAGACTACATACCCGATCAGTCAGAAACCTTCAATTTGATCTCATGCAGGAGAAAATCACAATACCAACATGCTCTTCACGCCGGTAGGAAATATCCATCTCAAACCGTGGTAGAAACCATCGAGAACTCTTTGAAACCCATTTCACATAACCAAGTCATCATAACTGAATCTCTCTAACTCAAACAGGTCATGCAGGTCACCAAACCCAAGAGTATTGTCACAAAATACCTATAGAGGCTCGCCACATCATAAGTACCCAAAGAACCGATCATATCCATTATCATGCTGATCCAACCTACTACCAAGGTATCTTATTTCTCCGAGTTCCTTCCGAATTACCCTCAAGTTGACACTTCTCCTTGCCAGAATACCACGATCCTTACCCAAAGCTCACCACAAGAGATCGTAGCATAAAACCACACCGCCCTAAGGCTCATAAGCCATTGTATTTCCTTTTCAACACCCCAAAAAGCACCACAATCGAGATACCCACTCTGAAGAGATCTTATGTGAATTTAAAACTGTTTACCTTCCTGATACTGAAATGTAAAACCCATAATGACATAGAAATACCACAAATCTCGACACCATCCAATGAAAATCCCAGATTCTAGCCATATACAAATCCAAAAAAAATTTCAAATGCCACATATGAATCTTAAACTCCTTAGAACTTCCTCGAGAGTCATCCACCCTATTCGAATCTCAAATAAACCGCCCAAATGAGCCGAACGATATGTGCTCCATTAGTACACCAATACCCAAAGAAGTAATCTACACCTTTAAGCAACCGAGCGAATCCTTTTTCTTAGTACATTACATCTATCAGGAACAGTAACCCTAAACCATTCCCAAGACTTCCATATATCCATAAAGTGCAATATATCATGTATCCAGAAATTCCTTACTCAAGTCATCTTCGAAATCAGCCTCTGTAAGTCATAACCGATCCACAAGTATGCCCCAAACCGAAACCAGTACAACATTTAACCATGCAATCAAATCGTTGATAACAGACTCCCCTACTTGGCTCGAAGCCATAGATACAAACATTCGATAACTCGCAATACCCATACTTTATTACTGCCATAATCCCACACTGAAATTCAACCCAATCCTTCATAAGCTTATACAATACAAGCCATATAATACCTCAAATCATCAGCTAATCTCACATTCATCCTCGTAACAGTCAAGTTGACTTTCTCAACCGATCCAAACTCAAATCACAACACATGTAACCCACTGATAGAAAGAACCTCTCCATACAACATCATAAGGATCACACATTCGTAGACAACCCTGCAGGAGTTAATCCACCTGCTTAGCCTGAACTGGCTTCCCTCTATACCCCTTCATGGCCACAACTACTATGCAATCACTGCATCCCCTCGAGTCTGAACTCGTCAACAAGACATGAGAATCTACTTCATTCCACAAATGAAATAACATGAAAGAATCCATCATATTCCTCATAACTCCAAACCATATAACACATCCACAGAAATCGAGCACTCGATAGTCCTTTTCACATCTCAAGCAAACTCTTCTCAACATATTTCAACCATCTGAACGCTTCCCGCAGTCTCATCCTACTCATCATATATCCATCCAACCACTCACCGGGCCACCAGTCCCACTCATAGGGACAACACTAGACATAGAAGTCCAAAGGCACATGCT